TGTTGTACCAATGGTTACAAACACGGTGTAGAGATTAGTCCCTAATCTGTATCAACAAATGAATATACCGTATTTTTCAGTGTATAAAATGACACTCTTTCCTAAAATAATTAGAGGAAAAATTGAGGGTCGTTGTATACACCAGAAGGCGGCAGCAGGAGACGGAGGCAGAAGAACAGCTGCTCTCAGCTGCCTCTTGTGGCTGCACATTGACTGCTGCCTCCACCATCCAGTCGCCCCCTCCAGCACCACTGCTGGGGCTTACCTCCAGCTCATGTCGCCACTTTTGTCCCCTGCCTGAAGGAGACGATCGCTGGAGGAGGTGATCCGGCGGCGGCAGTTAATGGGCAGCAGCGAGAGGCGGCCAAGCGGGGCTGCTTCTTTGCCTCAGTCTCTGCCTTCTGCTGCTACCTTCCATGTAGGCTCAGCAGCAGGAGGTGGAGACTGAGGCAAAGAAGCAGCCCCGCTTGGCCACATCTTACTGCTGCCCATTGACTGCCGATCGTCTCCTTTGGCCAGAGGACAAGGCAGCATGAGCTGGATATAAGCCCCAGCAGTCGGCGGAGGCAGCAGGAGGAGGAGACAGAGACGGAGGAACAGCCGCGCTGGGCCACCCCTTGTGGCTGCCCATTGACTGCTCTGCCTCTGGCAAGGGTAAAAATTAGGGGGTCATCTTATATATTGGGGGGTCGTATACATGAAAAAAATATGGTAAGCTGAACCAATGTATCACAATGTTTAATAAGTACAGATTGATTTTACTAATAAAATCAATAAGGTTGATTTGATAGCTCTGTTTAATGTTTAATGGTTTGAATATGTGGTCTGAAACCAATTATAATAACTAGGACGAATGGAGAATCTGTGTAAGAAATTGACAGTGTTCTGATATCAGATAGGAAGACCTGATAATGGATTCTTTACTCCACCAAACTATCAGTGGATTACAGACCTACTCTGTTTCTTGTGATTTCTGAGTTTTTCCATTAACGTTTTTCTTACAATGTGTCAGGAAGAAGGGGAAGCTATTTTGGGGATCAGAACACCACCACAGTCTTGATATTTCCAGATTCAGCTTTAGCAGAGAAAGCCATTTACAACAACACAAAAAATCAATTTCCAGCAATCTTTTGCATTTGATCTGTCTCCCAACTGCTGCATTTTCTTAAGCCTGAGGATGCAGAAAAGTATATTCTTGGAATAGACTTTGGACATGGTACTGATGGGGTCAGCACTAGGAGAAAAGTCAAAACAGTGAGATAGGCAAGAAGCTGCAAAGTTAAACTTCACCTCATTTTTAGCTGGACTGGAATTATATGAAGTACCTACATGAAATCCTGATCCAGAGTCCACAATTTCTATTATGTTTTCCATACAATTAACATTGAAAGTTAATGATTCTAGCGTCTACATTTATACATAGACATAAAAAGTAGAATTATGTAGCCAATGGGAGGAAAAAGCTGAGGGAGTGGATTGTGTTGCCATCCTGAGCTAGAAGGCAAAGTATTAGTTTGACCGTCTGTGTTTTTAGCATGTTTTTTTCTCTTTTTGGTGTCTATTTTTATTTTCATTTGTTTTTCTTTTGGCTGTCATTTTTTATTTTCCTTTTTTCTTGGTCTTTATAATATAGTAGATTTCACCATTTTACAAAGACTAATTGTTATATTGGTGATTAAACTAATTGTTGACTACCAATATTTACTATTAGGGCCTTCAGTATGGAAAGATGAATGTTCTCATAGTTTATCCAAATATATTATCTTTTTTTTTAAAGTTTGTTTTAAATGTTTCCTTACTGTTATTATTATTACTAATATGATATATATTAGGGTATAGCGTTACTATGACTATAGCTATACACTCACAATGGCATTAAATTTTATTACATGGAATATTAAAGGACTACATTCCCCGGAGAAAAGAAAACAGGAACTTTCTAAACTTAAAAAACTTACAGCAAATGTGGCATTATTGCAAGAGAATATCTTGTAGAATATAAAGATACGATAGGATCTTCTTTTTTTTTTAAAGCAAAGTGTGCTGCTTATATACTGCCCCACAGTGCTTCAAGCACTCTATGGGTGCTTTACAAGTTAATTATGCACACTACACATTGCCCCCCCAAAGCAAGCTGGGTACTCATTGTACCGACTTTGGAAGGACAGAAGGCTGAGTTAAAGCAAGCTGGGTACTCATTGTACTGACTTTGGAAGGACAGAAGGCCGAGTCAACCTTGAGCTGGCTACCTGGGATTGAAGTTTGGTGGATACTACACTGTACACAACAAGACTATACATTTTTCTCATTGGTGCATCAAAATTATTTTAGGTTAGATTTTTTTTATCATTTGCTTCGATATATGATAACGTGTCAGGTAAATGAGACAGAAATTTCAGACCATGCTCTGTATCCTTCATTATAATGCTAACTGCTGCGGTCAAAAACTCTGGCTCATGTCTAAATGTTGTACTTTTGAATGATGACAATTTTAAGAAACAGATGTGATCCAAACCTAAAGAATATTTTGAGCAGAATGAAGGCACAACCTCTTCATACTTTATTGATAGGCGTGTAAGGCGTATATTTGAGATAGCATTTTGACATGTTTCACACAAGAAATAAAGCAGAACTAATCAGGAAGAAAATGTGGAAAAGACAATGAACTCTCTTCTAAGTCAATTTACAAGATTCTCTAGATTTTTCTCAAAGGTCACAAGTTAAATATGAATGTAATAACTTATGCTCTGCTAAAGCTGAAACTTGCATTGATATGTGTGTGCCAGAGATATCAGGAAAGTGATGAGAAAACAGATAAAATGTTGGCATCTTGTTTAAAGCAATCAAAAATTGGAATTACCGTATGTTCCCTTGATAAAAGGGAATCAAAATATTTCATATACAATATCAAGACAAATAAATTTAGCATTTCAGAAGTATTACACTAAATTATATAGAAAAACAATGCCACTATAGGTTGTGAAGTTGAATCTTTCTTCTTGCAGCTGATTCTTCCACAACTAAATACACAGGAAAACAAGATCCTTTCAAGACCATTAGGACAGAAAAAATTAAAGGGATTATTTTGAAAATGAAAGATGAAAAAACACCAGGACCAGACAGTTTCCCTATTGAATTGGTACAATAAATATATGGATTTTCTGGCCCTCAAGCTTGTTCATGTCGATCACTGAATCCTTCAATGTCCTTCAAGGTACAGTGCATATATTTCTCTTATACCTAAGCCTGGTAAAGACCATACTAACTGAACAAATTACAGATCAGTCTCCTTAATTGATGTAGATGCTAAAATATTAACTGCAGTTTTGGCTAACAAGATCAACAATAGTACATCCAGATCAAACGAGTTTTGTTCAGCAGACAGGGAGCAACTACAAGTAACTAGTTTGGCAGCTTTCAAAAATAGATTGGATCCAGCTGCACTGATTGTATTGGATGCTGGAAAAGCATTTGATAAAATATATTGGCAATGTATGTTTGTTACTTTAGAAGAATTTGGAGTTCCAGAAGAATTTGTAAAATGGATTAAAATGTTATATTACTGACTTAAATCACAAGTAAGGGTAAATGGAGTCCCTTCTGATATGTTTCATTTGGAGAGAGGTACAAGACAGAGATGTCCCTTGTCTTTAGTGTTATTTATGTTTGGAACCACTGGCATGTGCTATCAGACAGAATAGAACGATCTATGGCTTTGTTCATGAACAAGTAGTATTAAATGTAGCTTTATATGCAAATGATTAATTACTAGTTATTAGTAGGTTAAAAATATCTATACTGGAATTAATACAAATTATTGATAATTTTGGAAGAATATTAATTGGTCAAAATCTGAGCTCATGCCAGTTGATAATTATAAAATATCAACATTGTTTATTAAATGATTATTTTGTTAGTGTCAAGTAGTATTAACATATTTAAGTAGTTTGATCCTAAAAGATATCTCTCAAATGATTAAACTGAATTTATATAAGGCGACTAGAAGTATTTCTAATGATTGAGAAAGAAGTGCATCACTTATGTTTAGCATGGAGTAAGGTTAAAACACTTAAGATGAACATATTGCCATGAATAATATATGTCAGTTTCCCAAACTTTTCTGGGTCACATCCCCTTTTAAAATAGCCAAGTCACCTGTGATACCACAACCACATTTACATAAAATGCATTTTTAATGGGGTAAAGTCAGTCTTTCTCAGAAAGTAGAGGGTTCTTTCTCCCCTAAAGGATCTCTTTCTCATACATACCAATACACACTAACTTTAATATCCTGCTTTGAAAGGTCAAGGATCCAGCCATCTTGAGTCCCCCAAAAAACATTTTGTGACCCCCTTGGGGGGTCACAACCCTCATGCTTGGGAAACACTGATATATGTGCTTCTTGGTACTTCATTGTATATTCCCTAAGTATATTTTTAAAAGATTGCTGGAATATTTCAGGCGTTCATCTGCAAAAATAAAAAGTATTTTTAAAACCCATTAACTATGCTGGCTAGATGTCATAGGAATTTCAGCCTAACAATAAACTGCTTTAGAATCCTTTCATTATGGGGAAACCGTTGGGGGCTTTAATTTTCAAAAATTGCCAGTGGCAAGATGACTTTTGGAAATTACAGATTTCCTCTTCTCTTGTAGCTCCTTATAGCTTCCCTATGATAAAATATTTCACAGGAGCCTTTGGACCTGTTATACCTTCTGGATTTAAAAACTGACATAATGTTCGCAATCATGGAGAACTGCCTACCTCCATAAATTTGTATATGTAGTGGTTTTTGGTGTAGCTAGCTGTGTAGGCTACAAGGCTTCTAGATACTGTACATTCTTTTTTATTTTATGTGGATATAATGTGTATAAACAAACAAAGAAAGAAAAATGTTATTCAAAACTTATTAGTGTAATAAAAGGACCTAGAGAAATCCCCAATGATTGGTATGCATCTACTCAACAGTTTAAGACAGTCAAATAAAAGAAAACTCAAGGAAGTCACCCATCAATATTTATTACACTTTACAATAATTATGTGAAGATGAAACAAAAAATCAGATGCGATGGGAACAGCCACTTGCAAGGTGAAAGGGTTAACTAGATGCAGAATAGACTTGTTATCTTCTCTCTCCTGCTAGTGTCCATACCTAGAAAGAGATTTATTCTCCTTTTAGGACTGAGATGCAGTTATGTCAGCATATGCATAGCTTTCAAAATGTGAACTCTGACATTAGCCGGCTATACAATCAATGAATCAGGACCTGCAAATGTTAAGACCGTTAAATAGATACTGCTAGATACAATTTCAGGGATGGGCCTGCACCAGTTTTTAAACTTTGTGGTAGTAGTTAATTTCTAAAGATTATGAATGTGTTGTTTCAGTCATATCCACTCATTTTTGCCAAAACAGGCTTAATTTATATGGATCTGAAATCCCATTCTACTCATGTTATAGGCAGGACAAGGAATTGCAAAAGTATCCTCTTCAACCTGCAAAGAAGGCATGGCATTTTGAGAGACTCTCAACGACAATGGCTGCTGTTTTGCTGAATGGACTTTCAAGGATCAGAAGAATCAGAAGAACTGTCTCTTTCTCAACAATTAGGCAACTGTTCTGTGTTTGCTGAGGCAGTATGCTTTGCTTTTCAAATGGAAAGGACACTAGTTTTGTGCAGAGACGGTATGTGCAAATTAGAGAAAATCTGATGAGGAAAAAATAGTGTTCTTTGCATTTTCTCTTGCTGGTGATGTAAATCTCTCTCAAGGTCTTTCAGTGAGTCAAGGCAGTTTAAACAGAGGAGAACCTGAATTTATCAAACATTCTTTGCATGCCTAGTCATGAGTACACATAGAAGTGTCCTTTTAATCAATGCTACTTTTCTCAGTAGCCTAAAGAATTAAAACTTGATCTGCACACATTCATCTGCATTCCTCTAAGGCTATAGCCGTGCCAGAACTGTATTAAAGCAAGTTCTAACTATAAGAATATTTTGTTGTTCTTGTTATCTGCTGTCAATTCACCTCTGACTTATGGAGACCCTATAAATGAATGCTCTCCAAAATAAGCCTAATAGCTTGCTCAAATTAAGGAGCATGCCAAACTTAAATTTTCTTGTTAGAAAAGCACAGGATACTTACTTCTGGAACTCCCATTCTCTGTTGTCTAATGGGCACACCTGTCGAGTCTTAAGCCAGCGAGAGATACAATGGAAGTGAAAAGCATGCTGGAAGAAAGACCAAAGTTACTTAAACAGCATGTTGCCAACTGCATATATTTCAATGGGAAGTGAAGTGGTGGAACAAGTAGCGAACAGTGGGAGAAAGTGATCATCAAGAATTAGAAATATCGATATGGAACAGTTTAAGTGAACACAGCTGTATAAAGAACCAAAGAAGCTCACGAACATCAAGAACAGATACCACTACCTATGTTGGTTGTCTGAACAGCCTTGTGTCTACTTCATACAAGAGCATTTCAGAGCTCCCTGACAAAAAAGAGCTTTTTGGCATATTTATGCAAAGCAGCTGTCTAATACACTGGAAGTGAAATTTTAAAGGTAGGGAAGGGAGAAAGAAAGCTTTCCACTGCAAAAGGGAGTAATTATATCTGATAAAAATTCCCTTGTATTCTTAGAATCATGTGCTCACAGTGGATATTTAAGTACTGTATGTGATCAGGCACAATATGTACCTAGAGCCCTTTTGCTGTTTTCAGAGCTGCAGTTTCCACAAACCAAGTCAAACTGCTTTTAAAACGAAGCATCTCATATTCTCTCAACTTGAATAGCAGCAGTGAAAATTAGAAACACAGCTCCAACTGTAGCTAATTCCCTTAAGTGATTTCTTCAAATCTACCATAGATTGTGGAACTTGCAAAGAATATCCTAGTTGCCTAAAAAGAAAAGTATTATGCTAAATTAAAGTGTTCATCTCAGCTAAAATATATCAACTGAATGAGTGGCACTTAAGGCAAAATGTATGTTAAGTTTCATTGATTTAATGGTCTGCTCAAATTGGGATTATCAGATTTAGCTCAATATGTACAGAATTTAGTTTTTTTTCCATAGGAAAGTGATGCTTAATAAGTATAATTGCAATTATGATCATCCAAGTAGGCCAAGGCCGATGACAGATAAACCTGCAAGTCATAATTAGTTGAGAGGAACTGAAAAACTAGCTTCCCTTATCCCAAAAGAAAGATGATTGCATTTGCTCTTGACATGTATGCTGTTTGATATTTCTTCAGCCTTGCCTGTCACTTATTTGTTGCATTCTCATGCTCATCGTCAGTCTAGTTTGCAAAAATAGTGCTTCTTGATGGAAATGTGTAATTATTTCATTTTAGATTTATTTATTATAAGTGGAAGAGTCAGTTTTCATAATGGTTGAAAAACACATTGCAGACTTACATTGCAGACACCCCATGCAACAGTGCATTCTTCAGAGGTAGCAGATGCTTGGTTAGCTTGACATTCTATGCCTGTGAGAACAAGATTAAAGAGTTTGACAACACTGGAAGGACAACTTATGAAGAAATAGATATTTTTCTATCAAATGTGAATGTTTTACAACATAAAGGAAATAGTTACACTATGTGATGACAATTATAATTTAATATGGAATCAGAAAAGGCAGTTCTCCAGTCCACATTTGTGGTACATAATAAAATGACTATAATATGAGAAATTACTGAAGGAAGTAGACTAGGTGTAGCTATACAGTACTGACAGTTTCTGCCCATCTGCAATAGTTTCAAGCATAGATTCCCTCCCAATATAACTGTACTTTTTAAAAAAACATCCTCCTGTGTTATCATGCTTTTAAAGTTAACAATACTTCCATACACATTTGTTCTGAATTTTTTGTACTGGCAAGAAAAATGAAATCTGACTGAACTATCCAGAAGCAACCAGAATCTGTCTCAGTTGCTGATTTCAATGAGTAGTGAAGTTCATCAGGGACTGTGAGGCCCTTCAGAGTCTTTAGGTTCTAAGATACCTAAAGCTTTATAGGTCAGACCCACTATTTTTACTTCACACAGAAGGAAACCAGAAGCTAGTGAAAATCTGTCAACACCAACAAAATGTGATGAAGTCAGTAATCCAAGTTAATAACCTGGCTGCCAACTTTTGAACAATTTCCTTAAACATCCTTACATGCTGTGCACAACAGTAACTTATCGTGGGTATTACTGATGGACAGTTGTGGCAGAACTGTTTTCCCTCAAGACAGGTTCAAGTTGGCAAATCAGTCTGAGCTTGCAGAAAGCAAGACATGCCACTTCAACCTTCAGAAGTGGGGTTCAATTTAAATGTACACTAAAGCTGTGATTCTGATCCTCCGAAAGTGTATGACCCTATTTGCAATATGCCATATACAATTTCTATGGCAACTGTACAGTCCACCATCAATGCATTCATATTGGCTATCTGGCTTTTAGTTTATTAACCCTAATTCAGGCAATTAGTGACTCCAAGCACCTATTAAAGATGTCCGCTGTCATGCTTGGATCAGATGAAAAGACAAAACTCCAGGTCATGAGCCAGTGAAAGCAGAGGTGGATATCACTAGAACACTAATGGTTCTTCACTCTGAATCACAGGACTATCTCATTCAATATTTCACACAGACATTAAATAGCATGATGGAGATGACTGAATCCTGTAGCTTCCTGTAGCATCTGTGTTGTAGGGCTAAGCTGAAGTCTACTGTGCCATCTTCCAGAAACATACTGTTTGGAAGTGCAACCAAATCAAGTTTGCCCCTCCTTTCCCCAAAAGAGATCCTAAAAATACCACTGCTGATGGTACTGAAAGGTTCAGTTACTGTTATATGCCTACATAAACATTCAGAAACTTCAAGTAGTTCAAAACATATCAGAAAGGCAATCCCTAATATCTACATATTTCAGTTTATACAGACATTAAGAGAACTTTGCTACTAATTTATGAATGCTAAATTAACCTTTCAATGCACCAACATGTGCAACAAAGTTTCAGTGAATTTTCCAATGATACCAGTGCTTTTTCTTTGCCAGTATATAAGCTTTCCTAATATCATTGGTACAACTGAAGAGATAAACAGAGAGGTTAACTATGAAAATGCTTAAGAAAAAGACAAAACCATATGCTAGGTTTTATTTGAGAGACTGTAATTTGCTGTTAGGAACAGCCATTCTCAATGGGGGCCTTATGGCTCTCCAAGGGGACCTAGCACATTTGAATGGGGGCATAGGCTGGAAATAATTTTTCACAACCACCTTATAAGGTCTACTAGGTAAAAGGTAAAGGTTCCCCTTGACAATTTTTGTCCAGTCGTGTTCGACTCTAGGGGGCGGTGCTCATCCCCGTTTCCAAGCCATAGAGCCAGCGTTTTTGTCTGAAGACAATCTACCGTGGTCACATGGCCAGTGCGACTTAGACACGGAACGCTGTTACCTTCCCATAAGGTTTACTACGAAACTTATACAATGCTGATTCAACCTAATTTTCTTTCATATTATGTTTATCGCTATGGTCAAAATGGCTAGTTTAGATGACTCAGGAAGAAGAGTACGTACTAGAAGGGAAGGAGTAGATAACACCAATTTTTAATGAACTATCCAAACAATATTTCCAAGGATCATTTTTATGAACTATCCAAACAACAATTCTTCTAGGCCATCTAACTCTGTGAAATGGTTTCTTGAAACAAGTTGGCTTTGTAAATTAGTTTGAAGTTAGCTTGTTTCAGCAGTATGATTAAGATTACCCATCATTTGTATGAGTTTAGATGTTACAATAAACTAGGATTACTCTAAACAGTAGCAAATACTTCTAAATTCACCTGAAACTAAATGATGGGAGTTTTAAGACAGATAGAAGTACAGTACTTCCTTCACATAGTTAAAATAGAATTCATTGTCACAAATGGTGTAATAATTGATGACCTGAATGAGTTTACAGGTGATAGAGATAAATTCATGGATGTTAGCTTCACTGATGGCTATTGCTAATGATGACTCTTATTTCATTTAATTAATTTTTACCCCATTTTTCTCCTTGTAGAAGGACTCAAGATGGCTTATAAACAATTTTAAAATACACATATTAAAACAATTACAAATATTAAAAAATCATTCTTTAAAAATTAAGCATATTAAAATGTTCTAAACAAGTCCTGTTTAAAAAATTTAAGAAACATTTTAAAAGATAAAATGACAGCTCTTCTTTTAAAATTCTTTCCACAGAAGCGGTTTATATCTTAAAAGCCTGCCTGACACTTGTCTGACACTAGATAAACAGGGAGGAAGAGCCAGCCTGCTCTCCTGTGGGAGGGAGTTCCACAGTAATCCAAACAGCATGTAACCCAAGATCTCTTCCACTGTCACAGTATAAAAGCTATTGGAGAAAGCAAAATGGAGAGCGCACTTGAGGTCATGTACTACTGTCAGGCTCCTCATAGGTTAACTTCTCATAGGCAAGTAATACAAGACCATGCTAGTTTAAGCTGGCTGGACAGCTCAGCGATTTGGAGCATCTAGCTGCATTGCCAGATAAGGGTCAGAGGTTTGCTTCCCACTGTGCGTCCTGGGTGAAGAGTCAGCCTGTGTGGCTTTGAGTAAGCTATGTATCCAATCCTAGAACATAATCAGAAGAACTGGTATACTACTTTTAAATACTCAACACCAAGTTTCCCTCTAAGATGCACGCCTGCGTCTCCGCCTTCCTCTGTGCAGCTTTCCTACTGCGCACAACAATTGCTTGAGCCCCTTTGGATATGGTCGCGGCAGAACCTGCATGTGGAAGGTAGAGTCGTACACACATGCAGGGGCAAAGCCATGCAACAGAGAAGCGGAGCCCCACTTAGGGGGCTGGAAATTAGACAGTATGTTGCTCTACACTTGGGAATAATAATAGGAAGAATCAACGTACATCAAAATAAATAGTTAGGCATTCTTCAGTCTCGAGACACTATGGTAACGTGCTCTGTATGGAGGACGTGGAACAGCGTCTAGTGTGGCTGAGAAGGGCAATTCAAGAGTGACAATCCCTTCCACACTGAAGACAAATACAATCTGTCCCCTGTCCAGCTCCCTGATTTTGCTGGTTTTGGGACTGCCTCTTTGCCTCGGTCTGCTGGACAAGGGTCTCTTCAGATTGGGAGAGGCCTTGATGCATCGCCTGCCTACAGGCTGAACGCTCAGATGTCAAGGTTTCCCATCTGTTGAGGTCCACTGCTAAGGCCTTCAGATCCCGCTTGCAGATATCCTTATATCGCAGCTGTGGTCTCCCTGCACCAATTCTCCATACAGATCTTTTGGAATCCGACCATCAGCCATTCTCACGACATGCCCAAACCAATGTAGACGTCACTGTTTCAGTAATATATGCATGCTAAAAATTCCAGCTTGTTCTAGGACTACTCTATTTGGAACTTTGTCCTGCCAGGTCAACCAATACTATCAAAATAAATAGCACAAAATTATGAATAACCCACGATTAATAATGGGTTTATATTTGCTGATGAGTTATTGGGAAAGAACAATGCTGAGTAGACTGATATCAGGTTAAAGAAGAAAGATTTCCTCTTATGAAAATTGGCTTGTACCTCTAAGGAATATTTATCATTTGTAGCAATGCAAAAGTAAAGCTGTGGATGCTTATTTAAAACCTTTCTCTTGAGCAAGTTATGGTAGAAAATACAAGTCCTGCCAAAGAAATTTTTCAACAATAATTCTACTAATAAAATGAATGGATATCATGTGATAAGGATTTAAACAACACAACAGAAGATATGGTTCTGCCAGCAAAACCCGATCTAAATTATCATTGCATGTTAATATTGCATACATCTACTACAAATATATGACCTACTACAATGGTGTGTTGGCATCTGTTTCCTTGGAGGATGCCATGAATTTGCTTAAAAATTAGCAGGCAGCCCAGCATGAATAGATTAGATCAGCTTTATTATGATATGGGCACAATAAAGCTGATTTAAAGCATCTATGCTGGTCTAACTACAGATAAGAGTTTTTAGATAAAAATGTTAGAAGAAAAAGCACATGACAGGTCTTAATGTTTCCTTATTACACATGTACATTTGGAGAACATGGGATCAAAATATGAAACTGAAAGAGTTTCATATTTTGGACACGAGCAAAAATTCCTATTGCCCATCGTATGAAATAAACAGCTTGGACATATCATCATTTACTCTGAATGGTTTTTTATTTGATACATATTAGGACAGAGAAGAGCAGGGCAACCCATGACCCAGAGATGAATCAATACTACCAACATCCTGCATCACTGGCCAGACGGGATAAGGCTGACAGCAACTTGAATCCAACAACACCTGGAGCATCCAAAGTTTTGCAGCCATAATATAGTCAAAAGCAATTTGGATATCATATGAGTGTGACAGATGTGTAACCCTGGCATTTTTTAAATGGAAATTTAGTTTTCCAGTCTGGACATATCAGAGAACCCTAGATTAATACAAGTTACATTCTTCAACCATCAGGGCACTCAGTGTGAGAGTGTATGATGGAATGCTCAGCACCAATACACTTTTTCTGGTTCATAAACCATGGTATTTACAAAATCTCAGACCACCATGAAACTAGGAAAAGAATTTTTGTTCTAAACTGCAAAACTTTCTTAGGAGCTTGTGCTGAAGAAATGTTATTACACTAGATACATCTCTTTGGATTCAGTTCTGACAACCACATTTGCACAAATTCCCTAGTGCAAGGATGGAAAAATAGAGGATTTTTTGAGGTTTCTGGTTTACAAGGACCTAAATTGTGATAATCTTTGGCCACTTACATGAAAGACCTAGGTGTCAGTTGATACCATGGATTAAATACTAACCACATATTAGAGTCTGAGTATTGAATCAAGAATGATAATGTGTAAGCACTTATTCCCAGTTTGTACTACTAACAAAAGCTTGACACAAAATTGATATCGATTTTCATGGAAGTATAACTACCTGAATAATTCAAGGCTCAATCCCATTATATCAGAGTAATGCTGGAGTAAGATGAATGATTCCAAGTACAATTTTTTCTTTTTCATACTGTGTTGCTAATTTTATTGGAATGATTAACTGGTTTCACGTTAATCAATTTTTGTTCACCATCCAGAGTATAAAAATTGCATAAATAAATGTCAGCAATTTTAGAGGCACAAAATTTGTTAACTCAATACATTTCTATCTTCTGTTTTCCTTACGGGATTGTCATATGAAACAAAAGTATTTTGACAGTGCATTGGCAAACTTTTATCTTGAAGACATGTTAATATCATGAATATAAGAATTGTTTTTGGATTTTCTTTGTATAAATCCACAAACTTCCTTCAGTGTAGTACAGGCCTATGAATGCTAAGATAAAGAAAGCTTTCCTTGCATTTCACAGATTACACTCAGTGTGAGAGAGCATTTGCAATCTTCGTATCTTCAAATCTATTCGGTGAGTGAGATTATGCAAGTGCAGTTAGTTTCTCTCACTTCTGTACAAAGAATGTTCATGAGACCAAGATGTGGAGAGAGACCATTACTACCTCTATGATGCAGTTCTCTCAACAACTGGGAGGAACAGAAGCAGCAGTCACTACCCCAATCCAGCTTCAGGGAAAAAAAGGGAGGACAACGAACTAAGCATTGTGCAATGGCAACTACTCTTGCAGATTCTTTTAGCATATCTACAGCTTCTGGCTCCTTCTTCACTCTTCCTCCCAGTACTCTTCTGTGCCTCTTTGCTGTTGGGTGGAACAATAGCATGATGAGACTGCTGTGGTTTTCTTCCTGTGACTGGGGCTTGATATGGCTGTGACAGGGATTGACAAAATTTAAAGGACAGAAGGCAGTTTCTTTACATCAGTATAAAATCTGATGGAAAGTCCCTCCCACACTCAAGTCTTCTGAGTAGAGACATATTAGCAGACACACACAAATCACAGCTTGCCACTAAGGCAACCAACATTGATGGACTATGAACCTTTACATACCAGCCACAGAAAAAGTAGAGAAGAGCGTTTAGGATAAAAAGGCTACATATTTAAAAAAACAAACACAGCAATATACAAAGCTGAGACAACTCAAACGACTGAGTAGCAAGGTTTAAAATATAGCCATACATGCACTGTCACAGAAGATGAAGTTATTTTGCATAACTAAAATGGATTTGTAATCACTGCCTCATGGTATCCAAAAATAGGAGTTGAGAAAATGAAACTATAAAGCAGCAATCTCTACATTGTGTTCTCAAAGGCCTTCATGGCCAGGATCCGATGGCCATTGTGGTTTTTTCGGGCTGTATGGCTGTGTTCTGGAGGTTTTTCTTCCAAACTTCCTAACACCCACAACAAAAAACACCCTGATCACAGGAAACACCCAATTTCCTGAACAGAAAAAACCCTGATCGCACAGCTACAAAATACTCAACAATCCCACACACCACACCAGAACACAGACAGAATTCTGGCTCCTGTCCTCTGAGGATGCCGGCCACAGAGACTGGCAAAAGGTTAGGAAGAAAAACCTCCAGAACATGGCCAAGCAGCCTGAAAAATTCACAACAACCAATTCTTCAGAGGAAGCCTGTAAAACTAGTTTACATGTACATTACAGATGTACTCTTAACGTGCGTACTAATTCCATCTCTGAAACTTAATTACTCCCCTGTTCTATCTATGTAGCCTAAGTTCACAATTCATCATGAGCTGCACAGTCAGCAGCAAAGTTACCTTTTTCATCCCTTTATTGCCCTTTGCTGTCTTCCTCTGTACATATTTGATTATAGTGACTACAATATAATACTCTCTACCATTACTTACAGAGATCCATAATATGGTTTCTGCAAATGGCACAGTTGTCAACCACAATATCCCAAGCCCAGAGTGCGACTGCATTCCACTGCAAGAAAAAGAAAAAAACACTGAAATGTACTGTACAGTGAAGGGGAGAATGGTTTATGAAATAATTATTTGAGTTAATAGAAAAAAATGTGAGTAGAGCTAAATTTATATGTAAAAACCATAGTATGTTAAGAAGATGGGGAAGATATCATTCATCCTGTATTCAGCATGGACTTAAAAACATGATTCTACACAGCTAACCTACAAAGAGAAAGACTAACATTTTCATCTAAGTCAGAATGCTGATATCATTCTTTGAAAATAATTATGTTTTCTATTTTGGCAACAGACAATTTGATTGGCCTCAGTATGTCCAATGTTTTCCACTGGAAATAAAATATGATGGAGAAAAAATGAAAAGCATCTGGTAAATTGATTGACAAATGAAATTAAACAGCCAGGGTAAACCTTGCTTTCATTGGTTGTTCCCTACTCAAATACTTGTTAGCACTGAATGCTGGTCCTGTTACTCTTTTTGAAGCTGGGTCAAACTGCCAAAATAAATTCTAAATGAATGCATATTTTACTCACCCAGCTGCAATCATCATACTGATGAAAACTACCGTACTTGATTTTTTAAAGTAATGATCACTACAACTGAAGTAGAAAGAGATTCACCAGGAGTTGAAAAAACCATATATCAAACTAGGAAATGCCATTTTAAGACAAAATAGTGATTCCCAACCCCACCACTATTGTCTTTTGCTAACTTTTAAATATCTAATAATCCATTATGATGTACCTTTGTAACTACTGTTACTAGATTAGAGAGTTATTAGAACCTATATATCTTAATTCCTTTGGACTTCAGCATTATAATTTTGCTCCATATTAAGTCCAGCATAATAAATATGATGCCTAACCTCAGTAGTTCTTTTCTGTATACTGTATATATATATACAAAATCTACAGAGTGAAATTTCTATCAAGTTATCTCAGTTACTACAGTAACAAGTCCAGATGCCTCCTACTTTTTCATATCAAAATAACAGTTTCACCAAATAAAGTGATGGAGGTACATGTAAGCTAGCATTGCATTGTCATATTTAGCATGCTGCTATCATTAGCATTTCTGAAGTGATTCACCAAAAAGAAGCAGAACTCAGAAGATCTACGTACTTTCCTGATATGGAGACATATATGGGAGCATCATTACGCCCTGAAAAAAAGATAGCATAGCCTGTAACCCTCCCCTTCACTATACCAAACCAGAGAGTCGGGAACTGCAACTCACGCTCAGATATGACTCAACTAGAAAGGTCCACAGAAACGAAGTCCTCACTGAAATCTCCCGATCAACATTTCTCTTGCCGCCCTCGATCGCCAAGCAACAACCCATCTATTTATTGGTCCGCTCACTCTCCCGCATGGCAAATCCCTTCCCAGTCTCTGGTCCAGAAGGATGCTGACCAGAAAGCCCCACTTAGGTATTCTCCCGGTTAGAGAAAGAGGCCGGAAACACGGCTCCTGCAAATAAAATCGGCGCTTCTTCGTTCCACCTACAGCCTTCAACACCTGCCTCACCTTCTTCACTTCAAAGCGCTTTTTGCCAGCACCGCTATTGGTCCCACTCGGAGTATCTACATCCATTGCGGCAGCCATTTTGGATAAACAAATTCCCGGCAGACTCCTCAACGCGCACGCGCACGCTTCAGAGCGAAACCACGCGAGACGTCAGGGCTACCGTTTTTAAAAAAAACTCCGTAGCCTCCATAGTTGCTTCCCTTCTTTTTTTCTTTTTCTTCTACAAACAGGTGTGTGCGAGCGAAGGGGGGGGGGAACGGGACTCTGGTCATGTGCCACACACCTCTTAAAGGCGCTGGTCAGGGCGGAGTCCGTTATGCAGGGTGTTGCGTCGTCTTCGCCTTCCCTCATCGCGCAATTGCTTAACGCCGCGGGGGTGGAGGAGTAGGAAGGCGGTGGGAGGAGGGCGGTGGGCCCAGCGCAGGCTCATTTAAAGGGACACCCACGAATTACTCCATATCAGTTCCTCAGCAACGGAGAAAGCCCGAGGTCTGGCACACAGGGCTCTCCAAGACCGTGAATCCGGCGCCTGGGTTGGCTGAGATTTAAGGGGCCAAGTTGAGGAAGCTTCAGCTTTGCTAGTTCCTTTCGCCCCCGCAACGTCGCGACGTTAACACAAGTCCGTGTGTGTGTGTGTGTGTGTGTTGTGTGTGTGTGTGTGTGTGTGTGTGTGTGTGTGAGAGAGAGAGAGAGAGAGAGAGCGAGAGCGAGAGAGAGAATGTGACAAACAACGAGGTGTTAGGATCCCTTCTTGTGAACTCCGTCAAGGCAAAACAAAAACAAAAAAACCCCACACAAAACCCTTCCTTTCCCAGGGAGCTGACTCTCCCTCGGTCCCTTTATACCAACCTCGGTTAAAATGACCCGTCTTTGCCTTTGCTGAACAAGCAGCGCAGCCGATCCCTGGAGAAGCCGCTCCTCACCTTAAATAGTGCGAGCGGCGCCCTTCTGCCCGCTCCTTTTGTCTGGTGCAGAGGGGCAGTAAAGCCCACGAAGCGGCAGCCCTTGGATCCCTCCTATCAATGCGCTCCAAGAGCAGGCCCGCGTAACCGTGCGCACGCCGTGGCATCCCCTTTTGGTGGGATAATCCTTTTTTAATACATAAGGGCTGGGAAAACAAACCTTTCTCCTAGTTTACTCATAAGTAAGCTCCAGTGAGCTTGGCTGAGATAACTTTCCACCTATCATGAGTGTCCAGAATTGCCCATGGTGAGAATTTCAGCCCAATAACATCTGGAAGGCCATGTTGCCCACCCTGGTTTGCTGATGGCAGTCCTTACCAGCCTTGGTTGTCAGAACAGTAACTGCTGGTGTATCTATAGCATAGTGAACTTCAGACAACTTGCATCAATGTATCTTACACACTTACCATTCTGGTGCCTAAATTTTCTTATACCTGCTGCCACAATGACTGGAAATAACATCCCACTACCTGTTCTAGCAGTGACCAAAACAGGAGAGAGGAGAGAGAACTCAAGCACCACCAGTATCCTTGCCATTAAAAGTTGCACTCTTTTTTAAAAAAAATCATTAAAATTTCCTCCAATTCTAATACAAGCATACAAAACTAGGACTGCGGATATAGGAGGGTAGATTAAAATATTAGAAAATGGGCTTATCATCCACCTGGAGTTAAATCAAACAAAAATACATGAGTATTTTTATTGTACAACCTTGATCCACCAATCAAATACAATTATGTTGTGTATTAATTTAAAAGTAATCTCCCGCTGAAGTAGGTGAAACTTCTTTTTGAGTAAACATGAACAGGGCTGACCTGCACAGCTGACTTCATCTTATACCAGAAAACTGCCTAAAAGCATGTATACACATAATTATTGCCTGTTAAGATTTCTGTTCAAGACCCTGATGGAGATGGAAGAAATCAGTGTAATCTCTAATAGTACACTTTGAAGATCCCTACTTTGAGTTAAAGATATATGCTTTTTCAATTTTTTAACATGTTGATTAGTAATTGGAACCCATTTCTTTTAGATATGTATGTTTTTTACCAAATACTATAAACCCTTGAGAGACTAATTTTGAATTTAACAAACTATTGCTACCTTGGCTTTTGAATCTCATTTTGCCATTTGCTCAGTGTTTCCTCTTAACCAACTGCTTTGTAAGTATCAAACATTTAAAAAGTGTATAAATAGTTTAGACCGAAGTCGTGTACTCATGTACTTCTGGGCAAGCCATTCAAACAAAGTGGAACTTCTGACTAAAAATGTGAACTATAATGCATGCAGTTTTGAGGTCCTCTTTGTTTTATGTCAGAATCTAGAATTTAACAGGAAGAACATGACATTTCAGTAGCATTTAAAAAACACCAGTTATATTAACCATACTGCAGGACTCTAACATCCTAACCCTAGAATGCAAACATTTTAGAACAAATTAATAAATGCCTATCATGGGAGAGTTGGCAAATAGATTAAAGAAATGTTATCAAAACACTTTCCCCAGATAAATAAATGTAAATGTCTAGATAAAATGTTTCCCAAATAAAGTGTTAATTGAGCAGATTGGCTAATGCTCTGGGCATGTAATGAAAGTAAATTAGCAGAAACAATTGGAAGAATAGAGCAGAAAGTACATGAGACTGAAAAGAGATTACATTTGCTCCAGGATGCAATCCTATGCATACTTATCTGGGAACAGTCCCCACTTAATACTGGAATGTACTGCTGATTAAGAATGCTTATGGCAGCTCAATTTTAATATAAAGCGTACATGAATAAGACTGAGTTCATAACTTAATTTTTTGTGGCTTCCTCTTCTTCATGTCTACCAAAAAATGAGTCTTATATGATGTGACTACATGTTTATTGACAGTTCATGTTTTTCCTGAACAATGTAGACTTAAATAAGAGATGTAACTTAAGAAAAAGTAACAGTGTTTTAACCACATGGAGGATGCATACATTCCATAAAGTTACATACAGAATAGAATAATAGTAGAGTCTTTAGCAGCACACTGTTTTTTTTTCTTTTAAAACAATGAGAATGACAGGCAGATTAGCAATGAAAATGTCCAACAGAAGAGAGCATTTTATTTAAAGGCTCTTATATGATCTGTCTTTTCTGGAAAATATTTCCTTTATTGTATAGAAAGCACCTCCTTCAAACCCTTGAAGACTGGCTTGTAAAGAACAGCACATTACATTAAAAAAATAAAATTAATCTGACCATTTTAGCTTGTTAGAATGCCAACAGATAAAATAGTTGTATATTAGGCTTTGCAAGAAAACAGGGTATTTTAATAATACAGTATTTCTAGTACTGCACTCAGTAAAATGGTAAAACCAAGTCACGTAGTATGCTGGGCAATGGTAACGAAAGAGACCATCATTGTCAGATATCCCCCTCTTCCCCACTGAAATGCTTTTCTATTGGACAAAGTCTTCTTTCTCTCCCTCTTTATGCTGGAGAGTAGAGATGGGGGGTATTCATATACGAATATGCCTGCACAGGTGGTGTTGATGAGGATCCAGCCCCAGGGGTCGGATGGTCCACTCACTTGATCCGCCATGGATGCGGATGGTGTGATTCTACTAATGGTTCCGCAGCGTGCAATCCGCTTACCACTCTTCAACCTTGCAGTGAGGCTTGTCCTCCCACCTCCTGCCAGGAGTGGCGAGCGGATCGCATGCTGCGGAACCATTGGTAGAATCGCGCTGTCCACATCCACGGCAGATCGGTGAGTGGACTGTCTGGTCCCATGGGGCTGGACCCCCATTAACGTCACCTGTGCGGAGATATTCATATTTATATATGAATACCCACATCTCTACTGGAGAGTAATGCCTTTCTGTAAAGATCTACTAACATCCTAATTCCAGATTCTTCCACAAGTTTCACTTGCTTGTGGATACATACCTGCAATTTCCTCCTCCAGCTGGCTTATACTGAAATAGCTAAAAAGGGATACAAACAAGCAATCTCATTGCAAAGTCTTCTACATAGTTCCAGGAAAATTGCATCTAGAAGGAGGATGACATTCTCCCCTCCTCCACCACCCTGCTACTCTCTGTAATTGAAGGCCAATAATAAAAATGAAAGGCATATGTGTCAACAAGCAAATGTTGACATGTGTTCCCTTCATCTAAGAATGGAGCAGTCTAGGCTTAGGCTGGTATAAATATTTAGATATTTATGCTAGAACTCCAAGGGACTTTCCTTGGGTGCATCTTCAGTGCTGCAGCCTCACAGAGGAATAGCTAAAAAAACCTTTCTTCTCAGTCTTTAAGATCTGTCTTTAAATAAAAATTAATGCTTAAATCCAGCTGTTTTATCTTTTAAAATATTGTATCTGTGCACTCACTCAACAAAGAATGGACCTTTAAAAAATGATTTATACTTTCAGTGACTGCTTCTGACAGAAACCTAGAAATTTCAACACTTCAAGTAAACTGATTGACAATTCAATATTCTGTGTTCTAAACTTTTTTAATAGCACTATTACTAATGCAGAACTTTTTTTGGTTCTGACAGAATAGAATATATGTGTATATTATATATAAATATACATAACATTACTCTATACAAACTGAATACCACTTCTTCAGATATCCAAAAAGTGCCTTACAGACAAAGTCTGGTTGTTGAATAGTTCTGTAACATTTAATCCTTTGAAAAAAATCTATGGTAAAAGCATTATCTTAATTTAACTACAAGAATACTAACCTTTAATTTGATTAATCAGTTCCTACCTAATCATTTTATTCTAGCCAAATTCCTCTGATTTTTATTTTTGCTTTATAATCTGGAAAGTGTAACATTTGCTGGTACAGGCAGGTCTCAAATCTATAAGAAAACACTTGTCATAAGGACCATATTTCACATTACATTTTGGACTTGGACATAAAAACCAAAATACAAAATACTGATTGCTTATATCAGTTCAAAATAATTATCGCTCTGTAAATTATGTTTTGCAGAAAGCTATATTAAAATAAGGGATGTGGTGGCACGTGCAGGTTAAACCACAGAAGCCTCTGTGCTACAAGGTCAGAAGACCAGCAGCCGTAAGATCAAATCCACGTGACTGAGTGAGCTCCCGTCGCTTGTCCCAGCTCCTGCCAACCTAGCAGTTTGAAAGCATGTAAAGTAGATAAATAGGTGCCACCTCGGTGGAAAGGTAACAGTGTTCTGTGTCTAGTCGTGCTGGCCACGTGACCACGGAAACTGTCTTCGGACAAACACTGGCTCAATGGCTTGGAAACGGAGATGAGTAATGCGCGCTACAGTCGGACACGACTGGACTAAATGTCAAGGGGAACCTTTACCTTTATTAAAACTGCAGTTTAATCCTTTCTTGGTCTTCATTTCTATGTATTTGGCTACAAAAATGGCAATTTAATTAATATACACAAAAATAGGACCCCTGTATCTGCTGGGCACTGGTTCCAAGGCCCCCAATAAATACTAAGAGAGAGAGAGAACGAACATGCATGGTGAAAGCAGAAAAAGAAACAGATTTTTTTCACATGCATTACCACAATTGGCTGCTAATATATGTGAAAATAGTTTTTTTTTCTGGATTTTTTCTTTTAATATTTTTATTATTTTCAGACCATGGGTAAGAGATTCAGTAGATACTGATCCCGTGAATAAGGGGGGTGTCCTACTGTATTTCCAAAGGACTGTTTTCTAAAACATTTCCTTCTACATAACGAGGGCAACGGGTAGATGTATTACCAACCCTTGCCCCCTTCAGCAGCCTCCATGTTTATTTTGCATGATTTCTAAGGATACTGCAATCCCAAGGAAATGATTTTTGGAAGATGAAGGAGAATATATAGAAGGGGGAGGCAGGAAAATCTCATTTCAGACATATGAGTTCTATTCAGTTCATGGCAAGAAAACTAGAATCTGAGCTATGGAATGCATGGTGCATGTATTTTGTTCTTGAATATCTGCCATCAAATAGAAAAATGGCACCAAAATATCTTCACCTTATTCCCAGTGTCTTGAGAAAAAACTAAAAGAAGCTGAAAATACATGTAAAAAAAAATAACCCTGTCCTCACAAGCAGGCATTGTGAATTTAGTCAGATCCACTGCTCCTATGTCAAATCTGAAAAGCAGCCCCACTAACATTAAGATTTTGTGTTTTGGCCTTGTGTTATTTATGTTCATCAGCTGGAACTTTTACAGTGGCATCTTAACAAGATCAGCTTTTACAAGAGAGAGACATTTCTTTTGTTCCTTTGAAACCAAAAATCAAAAGCTAGAATCAACTGAAATAAAGTCCCTCTGCAACATCTGAAAAAAGTACAGCATAAGGAACAACTGGGACACAATTCCATAAGTCACTGTGAATAACAAATAGCAAAAAAATATTATTAAAGTTATGTAAAGAAGGGCAAAAATAGTCCAGATTGCACATGTAGATTTCTGAGTCTGATTTCTTTAGCACACTAGAAATATGTATCAGATATCCAGGTACATTTTCTTCACTTAAATAAAATGTTATTGTTGTTCAAAATATTTACACACCATTCTTTACCTGTATTGTTTCACAACTACAATTCTACCCACTCTACCAATCCTAAAAGCTTATCATAAAGGTTATAAAAGACTGTATTGTGTCTGAAAGAATATATTTCTTGTACCTGAGCAATACATAAAAGGTGGTAACAGTCATCAAGGACCACAACCACAGACTTGTTCAATGTCATATATTTCCTTTGGGCAGTCTGCAGAGAGGATTAATGGTATGTTCTCTGTCACTACAACATCATCTTCTATGCGTACACCAATGCCTCGAAATCTTTCAGGGGCACTTGCATCATCCTCAGGAATGTAGATGCCTAGAAATAAAGTTGGCAGTCAGATACCACAGGGCCAGGACTACAAATTATGAATGAAATCTGTAGCATGTAACAGTATGTTTTAAAGACACGTAAACAAGATATTAAGGTGGTTCTGAAAAAAACCTATACTGTACAATCATCCTGTCTGAATTCGTGGCATTTACAGCATATACTTTTGTATATTGTTGTTTTCCATTTGTGATTCTCCCCTATTTTTCCACTGTTACTTCTATCGTCTATTAGCTGAAATCCTGTTGCTTAGCATAGTAACTTTCAATCAGAATAGGCCCATAGAATCATTGGTATTTGGTGAGATAAGTCCTACATAAGTTCCATTGATTCAAATGGGACTGCCTGCTCTAGTTGCAAATTATTGCACTTGGCTAAGTCACTGAGTTGCTACATTAAGCAACAGCATTTCAGTAATATTTTCATAAAAGATCTCTTAAGGAGGAATAGATGCGCAGTGTCTTTTGACTGATGATGTTAGGAATTCTTTTTGCTCTTCCCAGTTCAAGAAATCATCAGCCCAATTCAATTATGAAAAAGAAATTTACCTATCAACCCTGAGAATATATAAAATGAGAGAGAGTATATGGATTTAAATAGGAGAATGGCATCTAGGAAGGTAAGTGGCTTGTGGAAAAACAGTTTTTCCAGAGATTCCAGAACTGATACAGAGACATAGCCTGTAACAGAAACCACCAAGATGTTTTACTAGCATTAGGGTAAATTAAAAATAGCAACAGGAAATCTCTTCTTGCCTACATAAACCAGAGATCTATAAAACCAAGGCAATCTTATCTGTGGCTCCTTTGGAACTGGCATTCATATAGTACCTAGCTAGTTCACATCAGTTCCTTATCATAGAAGAAAAAAGATAAGTAAGACACTGACTCCTGATCAGTTCCAGCAAGACAAGGAATCTACAAAACCTATTTCCTTAAGGGATTTTGATGATCTATCCAGGATTACCTTATACAGATGTAAATACCACTGAGATAATACACGTGAAAGGCTTAAAACATTTAAGAACACATATGGTGTACATTATTTTAGGACTGCTACTCCTAGTTATACCAAAGTCATGCTCAGCCTTTATGCTTCTGCAAAAGGTTTTTACTACATTACCTACACATTTTCCAGCTTTTTACTGCAGCTGCAAATATTAGAAGCATGCTTTAAAACATATACTGTAAAGTCAAAATGGCAACTTGGGGGAAAAGTCTATATATGGTAACTCCATAGTAATTCCATAAACACATTGCACTGTGTGTGTATATGCATTTGTATATATATATATGTATGAACACATCCACAAACCATCAAAGTTTATTCTTTCACTGTTGATAGTCTGCTGCTTTACCTGGTTCAATAGTGATCACCATGCCTGGCTGCAGGGGGATTGAGCGGGATACCTCAGGTGTGTCGTGAACATCCATTCCCAGATAATGCCCTACATGATGGGGGCAGTATTTCCGAACAGCCTAGAAGGTAGCGAATGTATTTTCTTAAAGTCAGCTAAATGCAGAGGCACACAGAATAGGCAACGTCATAAGCACAGGGTTGGTTACAATGAAAACTAAGGACATGAATTATAGCTTGTTCTTGGGTATACATAGCTAGGACAGTTTCTGTTACTATCATTTTTCAATGGCCTTTCTGGGAATTAGGAGTCCAACTAAAATTAAATTAAATATTTAAAACTTGCACATGCCTAGATGCAATGGACACCCTCCTAATGTGATTGTATGGAATAAACCTTACTGTCTTTCTCCACCAGCCAACAAAGGCAGTGATAGGGAAATAGAAAAATCCTTCTCAACAATACTCTTTTGTCAATGGAGGGAAATGCACTTGCTTCTCTTCCCCTTGAACAGAAGTGCCTACTCCCAAGTATCTTCTCTCACTCTATTTCTTATGTTCTCTCAAGGAAAGACCAGTAGCTACAACCACTACAGATAGGGTGGTCTTGGAAAAACATATAGGGGCAACAGTTATGGATTCTATTTGGTACCTCCTTCTCCTGTACCCACTCCATGAGACTGAGTGAATGCTGAAAATGATTTTTAGTCATGGCTTCTTCATTTATTAATCATTTCCCTTCTTCTGGAGGCCAGTTCAGGGTGCAATATGGTGAATACTGACTGGCAGAAGCTCTCTAGGATTTCAAATATGAGTTATTTCAATTTCCCTACTTGAGAAATCTGTCTCTGTAGGCATCCTTCAATCTCACAAGACTATGGTAACGTGCTCTGAACAGAGGTCTTGGAACAGCATCTAGTGTGGCTGAGAAGGCCAATTTGAGAGTGACAATCCCTTCCACACTGAAGACAAATACAATCTGTCCTCTATCTAGCTCCCTGATTTTGCTGGTTTCGGGACTGCCTCTTTGCTTCAGCCTGCTGAACAAGTGCCTCTTCAAATTGGGAGAAATAATCCTAGAATAATAACTCTCTTCTGTATTTGCTCATAAAAACACAGATGTGGCTAAACAGAAATCCCATGATCACCTTGTTCTTTAAACAGGATATCCTTCATTTGCAACAAATTTCATCATATAGTGAAAAGGGTTTTGTCTGTTTGTTTTATCCCACAGGCCTGATCTCTCTGAATATGTCAGAACACTGTAATGAAAAGATGGAAGTAACCAGTGCTGAACTCCTATTCGGGTGTGCAGCATTAACCCAACTAAGCTTCAAAACCAAAGTGATTCATTACAGACACCTCTGGTATAGGCAGTTTCCCACTTGTCATAAAAACACACAATTCTTCTGTGAAAATGCCTCCCATGACTCTCACTGTCCTCTCAAAATCATGCATTTTCCTCCCCCAGTCTGCCAGTTCTCTTAACGATCTTACCGACAGGTTAAAACAGTGCCAGCTCCCATCCCCACCCACCCCACTCAGTTGACTTCATGCTTGTCAAGAATCAAACAGTTGCGTGCCTGGAGAAATCTGATTGTTCTGCCACCTGCCGGGCAAAAGGGATACTGCTGCAAATCCTCCATATTTTAAAGACAACTTCCTTCTTGGACTCTTTACAGCACTCGCAAGCCCACTGACATCCATGGATGTCAGCAAGCTGGTGCTGCAAAGCTACCATATCATGACCTGATTTAAAGTGGTGGTTCAGTATTTCTCGTCAGTACAGAAAAGCAGCTGACTGCATAGAAAATAATGTAAGGTTAAGTACCTTGAAAAGGTGGCTCTCAGGGGTGCTTTTCTGCAGGATTCCCAAATCTTTCAGCTTTTGTCCAATGAGAGTCAGCATGAGACTGTAGATGTTGTCTAGGCTCACACCTGGGGAACAGAGCCTCAGGCAGGACTTCTGAACTTCTAAGACAGCCTGGTACAGCTCTGCCTGGGGATTAGTGAACCTGAGAATGAGAGGCCAAGCTCAGTCAGCTCAGGTGGGCTCTAAAGAGGGAAGAAAGCTATTGGTTAAGGGCCAAGCTGTATTTTAAAAACAGTTCCAGGAGTGTTTCATTTCAGAACACAGACTGAAGACTGTATGTTTGAGCACTGCTCTATGTGAAATATACCCACACACTGAAAACCAGTACTGTACACTAAGGAGAAGAAAGGGATGGAGCCACTTCCCCTGAAATGTTGGCTTTCTTTAAAGGGTTTCTGAAATGAGGGAAATGCAAGACAATTTTTTTTTTCATTCGCATTCTGAACTGGGAAAACATTGCATCACCACAGCCATAATTCAGTCTTCATAACCTCAAATATGTGCTGGAAGGTGATCACCATATATCAGATAAAAGAGTGCAAACATAAAAACTCCTTTGAAGCACTGTGAAATGGACCAACTGTAGCAGTGAAATATAGACTCTTTGGGGAAAATCAAATAAACCAGATTCACTGAAATTATGTCTAGATTCCAGCCCCAACTCCACTGTTTCACAAATCATCATCATCATCATGTTCCATCAAGTCAATTCTGACTTCTGGCAATCCTTTTTCAAGTTTTTCCAGATACAGAGAATACTCAGAGGTGGTTTACCATTCCCTTCTTCTGGAGGTGCCCTGGGACTGTGCAGCTTGCCCAACTGGCTGGCTCTTCTCACAGATGGCACCATGGGGAATCGAACTCGCAGCCTCTGGTTCTGCAGCCAGATACAGTGGAACCTCTACATATGAACTTAATCCGTCCCAGAAGAAGTTTGTTAGTTGATATGTTCGTTAGAAGCAAAATTCCCCACAGGAATGCATTGAAAACCATTTAATCTGTTCTGGCTGTTTTTGGTTCTTATCTAGAGGCACCGTTCTTAAATCGAAGCATTAGTTTCCTATAGGTTAAACTCTACCACTAAGGGGAGAATTTTTCTTCTTTTGACCTCAGATGAACTTAGGTCAAAAAAAGGGCAGGAAAGGAGGGGGGGAAGGGAGCACCTTCTAAACAGAACACCTTTAAAAACAAGCACCTTTTAAAGAAAACCAAGCACCATTTAGCTTTAAAAAAGGGCAGGAAAGGAGGGGGGAAAGGGAACACCTTCTAAACAGAACACCTTTAAAAACAAGCACCTTTTAAAGAAA